TATACCACGAAGAAAGTGCGATAAAAAAAGGAAAGAAAAACAAATCAATATAATCATGCTAAACTTTCGAAAAAAATATGCCGACTTTCAATAGCCAAACATACAGAAACTTACCAAAATTCTATAAAGAACTCAGCGAGACCGAAAACAAATTAAAAGTTGCAATCGATTCAACAGACATATCCCAATTCAGAACATTCTTTAAAAAAATTCTTCAAATAAGAAACTTAAGACAACTTATTACAAATACAAAGAAATAAGGAAAGCCTCTGTACAATCTATAGAAATGGAAAATATATCTACCAAATTCCAAAAACTTTATCGACTACGAATTTAAACAATCCGAATAGCAAAAGGAATTCTTCATGCTAGGAATTAATTTCCTTATCTTGACAAAATAAGATCCAAATAAAAATAAATGGACACCTGTACTAAAATCTTCCAATAAACCTACAACTAAATACAAATGCACTCCAAATAACTAGACCTACTCAAACAGGGATGTATATAAAAAAAAAATCAATAGAACTATTGCAAACAAAACTCACTACAAACCGAGACATTATTAAACAAAGTTAAAGAAACTACGCCAAAATAAAAAAAAATATTTAGGTTTTACTCGAGTACAAAAACAATGCCTCTGTTATATAAAACGATTAAAAAAACGTGTTAAAATTTATAGCTATTTTAAAAAGACAAACCAATTAAAAATATACATAAAAATCCTTACAGTTAACATTTAAAAGAAAGATAAATACACTTGCGACCGCTCATAAGGTAGCAATACGACATTATTATATTACTGTAATTCCCCGTGTATAATACGCCTTCATCCATAATACGCACCCCTAAAATTGAGCTGAAATTGTGGGAAAATGTTTCTAGTTATGCATAATACGCACCCCTTGTTTTGTAATCAAACCCTATAGGGTACCTCTCCAATTTCATTACGACCAGCTTTTCCTATTATTTATTTGCATTAAAATACAAAATGTGGCACGAGGCCTAAAAAGGGGGATGGGGAATGACGGTCTTCTTCTGTCTTAAATCTAAAAACTTAGCTAGTCGCAGACACTGACCCAAACATGCCAACAATATTCCAATCACCAAAACAACACATTCACTCCTACCTTTCTTACTACGTCCACCATAATACCTCAAATTCTCTATGAAGTCCTAAATAGTCCCCTTATATACAAATAATATTCATGGGGGGGGGTCATAAAATAACGACCAGCTTTTCCTACTCTATGCAAGATGTAATTGAAGATATTTATCAAAATTTCCAATCATCACGATTCTAAAAGGAAACGGAAATACTTATATTGTGCCTACTGCGCAGACTCATTAACCTGGTTTTGTTCGATAAAATGTAATATCGGATCTGTATGTAGTTTTTCACAAAAAATTTTAAACAGAATAATAATTATTCTAATTTAGTTTTGATAATTCTTATTTTATTTTTCATTTATAAGTATCATTAGGTACATATGATTGTATTTGACATCCTTATGGGGTCACACTCGCCGAATGTTAGTGTCAAATTGTCGTAAGTATTCATTTCGCAACTGAAATCGACCTATGGAACGGCAATTTTTTAAAGATTTTTTTGTAGCTGTGCATAATACGCACCACTGATTTTGCTTATTATTTTTTAGAAAAAAATGCGTATTATATATGGGGAATTACTGTAATAGAATACCAGAAAGAGCATGCAGAAAAATGTGTATCTTTGTTTTATAGAGTATGCATAGATTCTGGATCTGTCAGTCGCCTTAGCTGGGTGGGTCAATTGTCCAGAATGCGGACCACACGACTCCCACGTATCAACCTGTTTGGCGAAATCGCCAAGAGGTTACGCGGAGGCCCAAAACGACGCTTCAAGGATCAGTTATAAACATTCCTGACACAAGACTATTTACAATATTGTCCTCATCTGTGTTGCCATATTTATTACGTTTCAGCCGTTGTACGGTCCGGTCTTCTTCAGTATCTGTCTATATTTCTGAGATGAAGTATTATGTACACTATTTACATTATTCGGACTATTGTCCTCATCTTTGTCGCCATATTTATTACAACGTTTCGGCCTTCTTCAGTATCTGTCTATATTTCAGAGATGAGGTATTATATACACTATTTACATTATTCGGACTATTGTCCTCATCTTTGTCGCCATATTTATTACAACGTTTCGGCCGTTGTAAGTTTCGGCCTTCTTCAGTATCTGTCTATATTTCAGAGATGAGGTATTATATACACTATTTACATTATTCGGACTATTGTCCTCATCTTTGTCGACATATTTATTACAACGTTTCGGGCGTTGTACGCTCCGGCCTTCATCAGGTGTTTGTAATGTCGAACTGAACCCTTTATTTCGCTCACTAGGGTAGACTGTTCTAGTTCCACATGCCATGTTTAATGGATGTCAGTTATCAGTTACCTCCTGTTAATTCCCCTCTCCAAGTACTCCACTGCCTTAACCGGGTATTGAACTCACACGCTTTGGGTCCTGTCACTAGATCTAACCAACACCTTTATCCACTGTGCTATGTGTCTTCAAGGACATATGGCACAGTGGCACAGTGGATATATATATATATATATATATATATATATATATATATATATATATATATATATATATATATATATATATATATATATATATATATATATATATATATATATATATATATATATATATATATATATTCTTTGCTTTGCCTTTTTGTCTACGGTTCAAGATGCTCCTTCATAAACGCTATGTATGCATCAGCAGTCATTTTAACGCCATCTAGTACTCTCCATGGGCCCACTAATGTTTTTTCCAATAATACCACCCCAGATCATTATGCCTCCACCGCCTTGTTGGCGTCTCAAACACTGATGACGATTCTGTCCGTTCATTACCCAGCCTTTGCACCATCTATCTGGCCCATCAAGTGTTGCTCGAGTTTTGTCTGTGAACAAAACTTTAGAGAAGTCAATCTTCATATTGTCCTCGGCCCATTTCAATCGATTTTGAATGTGATCTCGTCAACGGATGCTTCGATACAGGTTTGACTGTTGTTACTATTTCCCTCAGATACCGACACCGAGTACTTTTAGACACAGTAGGATCCCCAATGCGATTGAAAAGCTCTTGACTGTTAAGTCCAGGGTCCTTCGTGGCCTCTCGTTTAAGTCGTGACATGAGACGACGTGAAATAACCCTCGGCTTGCCTTTATCTACCCTTTTACGTACTTGTGTAGGGTCGGCGGTGTACTTTTTCACTGTTTCTAGGGTAGATTTACCTTTTGAGACTTCTGAGGTGATAGTTTTCTTTTCAGCATCACTTAAACTGCTTTTACGGCCCATCTTTTCACTAAATTCTTACACTTTTCTAATAATGTGGCACGCTCAAATCACCGTGCTGATAACAAATATGGCTCCAGTTTGTTTACATTGCGCAGATCAGTACGAAAATCTGTGATTGCGCAGGTCATTGTTGCCAACATTGTGTGAAAATTTTCTGAGAATTGATTGGACGGTTTTTGAAATATTAGAAAAAAGTTATCTTGATAATAATTTGGCACGCAGTGTATATAGCTAGTAATATTTTTTCAAGAAGTGTACAGCTGTTTGTATTGCTGGTAATTTTCTATTTTTTTTTTTTTTTAGTATTGCTGGTAATAATTTATTCCTTAAAAAATTATTGCAAGACGCCTGTATACAGACAGAAAACGAATTCAATAAATATATAAAAATAGAAAGAGGTGTAAGGCAAGGATGTGTCTTCTCGCCGGACTTATCCATCCTATACAATGTGGCGATTCTGAGAGAAATAATAGAAGTCCTAAAAGAATTCATTATTTTAGACCCCAATCTTAATAACATAAGAAAGGAAACTTCAAGAACTCATAGATTTGATAATGTACGCCACAAATATCTGTTGGAACAGCGATGTAACCATGACATCCTTGGGAAGGATCTTAGAATAATCCAGAACATATAATGGTAACACACTGCCTACATACGGATAGAAAATGAATTCAGTAAATATACAGAAATAGAAAAGGGTGTAAGAAAAGGATGTGTCTTCTCGCCAGATTTATCCATCCTATGCAGTGTGGCGATTCTGAGAGGCATTACAAAGATCCTAAAAGAATTCATTATTTGAGGCCCCAATGTTAATAACATAAAATATGCAGATGACACTGTGTTGGTAGCAGACACAGAAAAGAAATTACAAGAAAAACTACAGAAGGTCGAGAAGGAAAGCGAGAAGAAAGGACTAAACATCAATTGCATGAAGATAGAATGCATGGGTGTTAGCAAAAGGGACAACCCAACATGCAAATTACAGACTGGGGATGCCTAAATCAAACAGGTTAAACAATTTAGATATCTGGGAAGTTTTTTTAACAGAGGCCAGAAAGTGTGACACGGTAATCTGAAGGGGGGGTTGGGATAGGGAAAGATGCTTTTCAAAAGCTAAGCAAAGTATTAAGAAACAGAAAAATGTCTTCCGAAAAACAAGAGTAATGAATTGTTACGTAATATCAGTTCTCCTCTATAACAGTGTATTCTAAAAGATTTCTTCGCAGATGGAGAAGAGACTTAAAGCAACAAAAACGTAGCTCTACAGGAGGGTGCTGAGAATGTCATTGACCGAACATGCGAGAAACAAAGTTCGAAAGAAGATATTAACAAAAAGGATACTTTTGCTTAACATCAGGAAAAGGACGTTGGGATTTCTGGGGCACATAATGAGGAAAGAGGGCTTAGAAAATTTAATATACACAAGCAAGAGGGAGAGAGAAAAACAACGAATAACATATATAGTGAGTTTGAATAAATGGATGGTGGAACAGAGTTTGGAATTAATGACAAAAAGACATAATATATAAAGAGCTGCAAAGGACAGGAAATTGTGGAGAGCCATGATTGCATACGTCCTGAGTGGAGATGGAAAATCTATTGACTATATTTAAATTGCTTGTGAAGACAAAATCTATATGGAGCTGTAAATAAATAGATAGATAGATAGATAGATAGATAGATAGATAGATAGATAGATAGATAGATAGATACGGAGCAACTCTGATGTATGTATGTATATCAACAGATTCGGGCACTTCAAGGCGGTGTAATTGTTAGCAACCTTGTCTCGCTAGAACAATTACGACTGAGTAGTGAGTTCGTTCCTCACTGGGTGCCCCATCCTTCGGCCTTGTGCCACATCTAAGCTACGCTTGGAAAAATCACTATATCAACAGATTTAAATAGATTATAAAAGACTAAGATAGATAGATAGATAGATAGATAGATAGATAGATAGATAGATAGATAAAACAGACTGACATAGATAGATAGATGGGTACAGGCTGAGATAGATACGAACAGGCTAAGATAGATAGATAGATAGATAGATAGATAGATAGATAGATAGATAGATACGAACAGGCTAAGATAGATAGATAGATAGATAGATAGATAGATAGATAGATAGATAGATAGATAGATAGATACTGAACACACTCTGCTAGATAGATAAATAGGAAGGGATTGAAATAGATAGATAGATAGATAGATAGATAGATAGATAGATAGATAGATAGATAGAAACAACAGACTGACATAGATAGATAGATAGATAGATACTGAACACACTCTGCTAGATAGATAAATAGGAAGAGACTGAAATAGATAGATAGATATATAGATATATAGATAGATAGATAGATAGATAGATAGAAAGATAGAAAAGAAAAGAAAGAAAGAACAGACTGACATAGATAGATAGATAGATAGATAGATAGATAGATAGATAGATAGATAGATAGATAGATAGATAGATAAAGCATAGAGTCGGACAGGTATAAAGCGCATAAAGAAATGCAGTCAGCTTTATGAGAAGATTTCCAATAACAAACATCAAACCTGCTTCTTTTGTCAGGCTGGGATAATTCAATAATGTAACCAAAAGCTGAATTGTCGCATTAGATCTGTAATCGTTTCAGGTTGTCTAAAAAGTGTCCAACCGAAACGAAATAAATAAGGTGAATTTTTTTTTATTATTATTCTTTTTGCTATTGTGGTGTGAGCTTCTATCTATGCAACTACAAAAAAAGAAAGCATAGAAAAAAAAATCGAAAGATGGGAAAAAGAGCAGATACCTACGTTTATATATACTGAAGGCTATAAATGAAGTGTACAAAAAAAGGATTAAATTATATAAAAGTGTGATCGTGGCCGGGACCGAAATAATAATAATAAAAAAAAAAAACGAAACGAAAATGGATAGGGAACAAGAAAAGCGTTAATTGAAAACTTGGAAAGAAATCGTAAGCAAACAAATGTAAAAAAAAAAAAAAGAAAAGGGAAACGAAAACAAACAAGAAAGCATCAGACGATAATTGAACAAGTCCTGTGGGCGGCTATGTTGAGGCTGGTATTCGTTGACAGGATACCGGGGTTGTAAGATCTTACCTGAACGCTGAATTGCGAGAATAACGTTGACAAGAGCCAGATCTCATGTGACATAAAGACACAAAAGTAAAAAGAAACTTGACAATTGCTTGATCAAGGGATTGAGAAAATATTTTTATTTTCTTATTTATAGATCTCTTTGAATTTGTAACACTTTATTTATGAATATCATCTGTTCCAGTCATTTCTTATTGTGTTAAGGATTTACGCACGAATATATATATATATATATATATATATATATATATATATATATATATATATATATATATATGTCGTTTTCTTTTTGTCTATTTTTGACAGACGCCGCCGCCATTTTGTTCTCTTTGTATTGATTTCTTAAAGCAAGCAGTGATGTTCTTAAGAAAAAAGAATCTTTGAATATCTTTCGTTTTCTTTTTTTCTTTTTTTTTTTTTTGGCATAACAAGGAAATATCACAAGAAAACATTTTTCTAACGTTGCAAACACTATCTATCCTGAGTCATCTTAGCTTGTTAACGAAAAAAAAAGTCAATTATTTTTATTTTATCATCACAGTACGAGAAAGAAGAAATATTGCTTGCAAAAAAAAAAAAAACTGTAAAGCCGCTTAAACGACTTCCGCCAAAGATATATGAACTGACGAATTGATATTATTATTATTAATAATAATAATAATAATATTCCTTTAATTTCTGTTGTATACACATTTCCTTCCGGGTCCTAACGTCAGAAATGGCATCATGACATTTTTCACTGAACATTTTTGTAAAATAAATAAAACAACTTATGTTCACACACTTTTTACAACGATAAAGCGATTCGTAAAGTGTGAAAACAACTTTTTTTGTATTTCTTTAAGGTATGGGCTACCGTGGATCCCTTCAAAGAGTCTATTGGAATCTGTTCCAATCAAACCGAGGGCGCCAACCACACCTGGAATTATTTATGTCCTCATATGCCACATTTTCAACTTCAAGATCCTTGTATTTTGGTAGTATTTTTGAAGATTTTAAAATATATAGCACAGTCAACGGGAACTGTGATGTCAAGAAGAAAACACAGTCTGTTTCTGCGATCGATTATTATTATTATTATTATTATTATTATTTTATTTCCTTTGAATTCTGGTGTGTACTCATTTCTTTCCGTGTCCACCCCCAGAGACCTAAGATCCAAAATGGCATCATGGCATTTTTCACTGAGCAATTAAAAAAAAACAAAAAAAAAAAAACAAGACATATTTTACATAGATAAAACCCTTCATAAGGTGTGGGCTGTACTCGATTATTATTATTGTTGTTGTTGTTGTTGTTGTTGTTGTAGCATACCTACGGACGATAATGGGTAGATCCCCATTCACATAAATACAGTAGTAAATACTGTATGTTGGTCTGCAGTTGTAGATTCGTCTGACAGAGAGGATCCCCAGACGAAGCTGTGTCGAGGGGCAGAGTCTCGTCTCGAGAAAACAGCTACCCGAACCTGTTTTATACGGGGTCTACGGGGAATTTTTGACCGAGACAACGGACTCGGATACCCACATTAAATTCGGCCTTTTGCCACATCTGACCGCGTGGGGAGGTTGATAGATATCCTGCAGTTTGAGATTCATCTCCAGCTGTGTTGGTCAAACTCTCTTCCTCCGAGGAGAGAGAATCCCCAAACGAGGCTATGTCGAAGGGCAGAGTCTCGTCTCGGGAAACAGCTACCTGACCCCGTTTTATACGGATTCTACGGGGAATTTTTGGCTCGGATACCCGACATTAAATTCGGCCTTGTGCAACATCTGACCGCATGAGACGGTTGGTAGATATTCTACAGTTGGAGATTCATTGTGGAATTCACTTGACTCACTTCAAGTATTTTTCTACTACTTCTATGCACCGCTGGCGAATCTTATATGTGTTGTTCTTGTCCTAAGTATTGTCGTTCATTACCAACCATCGTTTGATTACTCCCACATTATATTCGGTCTGGTGCCATATCTGATTAAGTGGTGTGATTGGTAGGTATCATGCAGTTGGAGATTCGTCTCCAACTGTGCTGGTCAAATTCTCTGCCGCAGACGAGGCTATGTCGAAGATAGATAGATAGATAGATACATAGATAGATAGATAGATACGGACCAACTCTGATATGTATATCAACAGATTCGAGCACATCGAGGCGGTGTAATGGTTAGCAATCTACTCTCGCTAAAACAATTACGACTGAGTAGTGAGTTCGATCCTAACTAGGTGCCCCATACTTTCGGCCTTGTGCCACATCTAAGCTACGCTTGGAAAAATCACTATATCAACAGATTTAAATAGATTATAAAAGACTAAGATAGATAGATAGATAGATAATGGAAAAACATAAATAGATATAATCAGATTGATATACATAGACAGATAGATATGAACTAATATAGATAGATAAGAACTAATTGAAATAGATAGATAGATAGATAGATAGATAGATAGATAGATAGATAGAACAGACTGAGATAGATAGATAGATAGATAGATAGATAGATAGATAGATAGATAGATGTGAACACGCTGAGATAGATACGAACAGGCTAAGATAGATAGATAGATAGATAGATAGATAGATAGATAGATAGATAGATAGATAGATATGGAAAAACATAAACAAATATAATCAGATTGATATACATAGACAGATAGATATGAACTAATAAGATAGATAAGAACTAATTGAAATAGATAGATAGATAGATGGATAGATAGATAGATAGATAGTGAACACACTCTACTAGATAGATAGATAGATGGATAGATAGATAGATAGATAGTGAACACACTCTACTAGATAGATAGATAGATAGATAGATAGATAGATAGATAGATAGATAGATAGATAGATAGTGAACACACTCTACTAGATAAATAGATAGATAATTTCAGCTTTGCAAGTATAAGGTTAGGCCTAAAATATATTATATTTCTCATATTAAATTATAATTAACATCATGAGAGTAATGTTTATTCCAAAAGACATTAATTTATTAATATATTTTAATAAGCACCAATTATTTCTAATACCACTAACGACGTTTTCTTGCAAACAAAGGAGTAATCGCCCTTGATTCATAACGTGTTTTTCGTAAATTCAGTTTCTTTTCTTTAATATACTTTTTTTAATTTTCGTCTTTCGAACTTAAGACTTAATTGATATAAATTAGAAATATTTAATTCAATAATTATAGATAGCAATAATAAAATAAACAAGTCTTAACAGCCAATTTTAAAATCAACACCACGGGAACGCAAATTTCGTAACGCTTAACGTTCAGTGGATAGGTACCCTGCACCTGAAGATTGCGTAACCGCATGAAACTCCGATAGACGCGGTTTTATCTATATTCACTTGAGCACTGTTGAATGACAAGGTAATTCTAAAAACAACGGTCACCTGCATAAATGCGAAGCTCTTCAGTAAAATAAATGGAGCACTATGGCTGCTTGACGTTTGTTTACGTTTGTAAAACCAATACGCTAGATTTGGCTGACTCATTCCGTCGAGTGGTAGTTGGCTTAGTCGTAGAACCTCTCACTGACACCAAATTGAGGCATTCAGTTGTTTATTCGCACTGATGACACACACACACACACACACACACACACATATATATATATATATATATATATATATTGTGTATATTTAGGCAGCAATTTTTCATTAATGCATGTTTCATTAAATAATATAGACAAGTGTTGTCTATTTATTTTAAGTTTCTTTCATATTGTCTGATAAGCTTAATCACATTAACATTGAAAGACGAAAGAAAATCTCCACAAATATCCTTAAATGCCTATAATTGATAACAGAAGCCATTGGTTTATACCAACGGCTTCCTACACTTAATACTCCTCGTTTTCACTCTCGTGTGGTCAGGTGTGACGTCACGAGCTGCGAAGCGATTTTCGCTTCCGCGTCTCGTATACACGAGTTAGTCGTTGCTTTGAAATGTTTTCATGCAACAAAAAACAGACTATCATTATTGTTTCGTCCGTGTACTGGTTGATTTATTAAAAAAGTAAGCCGAAAACTTTTATTGGATTTAAACTTGTATCAATATGATGATTTGCTTTCGTCCTTCAATGATAATGTTATTAAACTTATCAGACAATATGAAAAGAACTTACTTACAATAAATAGAGAAAACTTGTCTATATCATTTAATGAAACATGCATTATATATATATATATATATATATATATATATATATATATATATATATAAGTGTGCAGACTATATTTTATATCATAAAGAAACAATTTAATAATGATTAATAGCGAAATCACTTCGCTAACAAGACATAATGAGACATTAACTTACTATCAATTCCTTGAATAATAAGTTCCTTATATTCGAGTTGGTGTCAGATGAAAGATACTTACATATATATATATATATATATATGTGTGTGTGTGTGTGTGTGTGTGTGTGTGTGTGTGTGTGTGTGTGTGTGTAAAGCATTAACATATCGTAGTTAGAATTAAATGCATTTTATAGGTATGAGGGCGTGCAGGAAGATATGCTAATAGATACAGGGATCATAAAAATATAAGAACGAAGACATCCAATCACCAAAAGCACTATTCCTAAACGCGTTCGCAATACAAAGAATGTCTCCGCCAAGAAATCAAGACTGCGGAGAAGCGGTACCAATGCCGGTGGAACTCCCATATCATGCCCGATTACTACTGGAGACTCATGCGTGATTGCACTTAGAAAACTCACAAAAAGAAGTCATATAAGTGAAGCTTCCTCCAGATGAAGTAAAGTACAATGACCTGAATAACTTGCGATAATGGGCTTGTAAAACATTATGGTTAATAGCTTAAATTACATATTTTTCTAGTTTACTTTTGATTGGAAATCATATTTTTAATTTATAATTTTTCATTAATCTCTTGAGGATGCTACAGGGGAAATATTATGGCTCTTCTGTGTTCTTTGTTTAAATAATAGCATGCTGTAAGTAAATATCACATTTGAATTATTCATATACAATCAAAATCTTAAATAAAAAATGATACATTTATTCCACCTTGTTTGATTTCAAATGAATAGCCTAAATAGAATAATAAATCTGGTTTTATTGAAATATTCAGGCATCAGTAACACAGTAATTTAATTAGTATCATTGTGTACAGATTGGTAGACACGAAAACATTTCAACAATATCTTAAAAATTGGAGTCAATTAGACAAAACCAATGCTCACCTCAAATAAAGCGGTCCTAATATCTCCCCAAAACAGTCTCAGCTAATATACCAAAAATATTTTGCTGGCTCGTGTTATCATCAAATATATAAGAAACATTTTCGTTTTGTTTTTTATTAAAAATATTTGAGAGATAAACAATAGCAGAAACTGATTATTCTGAAGCAAAAATAAAATTAGTATAGCTGGTTACTCGTATTCCGTCTATCCAATCCCTACTGCAGACGTCCGCTCAGGCAACATCCATAGAGCCCACCTTAGAATTCCTGGATTAGAATTCTAGCGTGATTCTTGTGTGATCACCACTTTGGACAAAGCTAGCACGCTCAAGCACCTGATGACTAGTATTTCGTCACCCCACCCCCACGAGGGCATCATGTGGCACAAGGCCGGTTTAACGAGGGATCTCCGAGTCTGTGGGCTCGGCCAAAAATATGCCCTTTGAACCGTATAAACGGGTTCAGGGTCGGTTTACCTCCCCGAAAGAGACTCCGCCCTTCGGCGTAGTGTTCGTGTTCCTCCCCGCCCGAAGGCAGAGAGTTCAAACGATCAGCCGTTCAGCCGGACGTCCGACTTCAGACACCTGATGACTTCGTGCTAGTAAAGACGGACCTCAAGGGCTCCGTCTACTTCATTTCACTCACTTCCTGACAAATTGACCATGGTGAGATTCGAACCCGGGTGACATGGTCAGAACGCGGACGTTCTAACCATTAGGCCACGTGCACATATAATAAAAGTAGTAAACAAAACAAAATAAAATTACGACACGAGGCGCTTTTCTAACATATGTTTCCTCATCCATAAAAATAAATATAATATATAAAAATAAAAATAAATATCTGAACGATCAATGATAGAGAAACAAATAGACGATATTGAACCAATATACAGAAAAAAGCAAAACAAACATTACTACTCGAAATGCTTTCCTAGAATTTCTAAAATTACATCCTCTTTAACAAAAAGGAGAAATGTTAAACTTAAATATAAATCGAGTATAATTATTCCCGCCAATATATAATAATTTAAAAAATACAATGTATTAAATGTTCTTAATATAATAATTATCAGTGAAATATTCTTAATAAATTAAACTTGCTAAATAACACTTATTTTAAAAATAAAACAATCGATGTATACCACGGCATATCTTGAAAAATAACAAGTATGTATTTTAATTTTAATTAGATTATCAGAAATGCCCAACTCCACGAGAGCGTCTCCATCCATGCTTATCAGAATGAGTTGATTGAATCAAACTCCACGACAAGAGCGTCTCCATGCGCATAAGTTCTTTTCTCCTGAGTCCATCTTTCAGCTCTACAAATCTACCATTTGTCCTTGCATTAAATGACAGAGAAAAAAATCAACGATACTGAACTGAGTTGGAATAACTGCATTGAATCAATAGCTTCATCTACGACAAGGAAATTTGGTTCTCTTCGTCGCGCCAGTAAGTTCTTTTCTCGAAACAATTAAATGTGAGTCCATGAATGTTTTCAGATCCAGTGGCAGGACCCAAAGAGTGTGAAACCCTTGTTCTGGAGAACTTGGAGAGGCGAATTTGTCTGACATCCATTAAAAAATGAACAGAATAGTCTACCCCAGTGAGCGAAATAAATCAACGAAACGTTGTAATAAAAAAAAAATGGCGACAAAATAGTCCGAATAATGTAAAAAAAAAAATGGATAAAAAATAACCAAAACTTTCTTTTTAAAAAACATTTAAATCACGACGCCTGAATGGAGAAAGTCCGACAATTATTTTAAGATAAAAAGAATATACAAACATAAAATTGTCGGACTTTGTCCATTTCATAAAATTAGTTTCGTCCTTTGAGCAGATATGAATGTTGAGAGACATGGAAGATTGATTTTCGCTAATCGAACGATCCTCTGTGGCTCGATCGGAACGTCAGGCTAATGGCGGTTTCGTATAGGATACAGGTTCGATTCCTGTCCGAATATTTTCTATGAAAATTTCTCGGACATACAGGCCGGTAAATGTTGTTTAATACTGTTTATTATAAAAGAGCATTTATATTTGTATCTATAAAAAGAATGTTAAACATAAAAAACGTACAAAAATTGTAACGACTAACTTTTTAGTCAAATCATTTAAACAATTGATTTTGTTTCCAAATTGAACGAAAGTTTAATTATAACGTCATCTGTTTTCCTGATATCCGGATACCATTCGACAGAATTCGACGATTCAGCAACATGTCAAAACAGTTGTCTATTGAGGAAGGTCAGAGTGTTCACAGTCGAAAGGTTTGGATAAAATAAATAAATGAATAAAAATTTCACAAAGATGAGGAAATTACTCAACGCAAACAATTCAAGTGTCAAATGTTTCTTAAATCAGCAAAATCAATTTGAATAAAAAGCAACGTTTTGCAACACCTAGCTGGTATTTAAAAAAAAAAAATAGAAATGTAAAGAAAAAAACAGTTGTTTCAATCTATTCAGTTTATTCTCCACCAAATAACATTTGCAATGAAACAAAATAAAACTGACAAGAGAAACAGGCGACTTCCGCTGTAATTGGATAATGTAAAATCCAAAAAAGAATTTCATGCCATCATTTTTTAGTTAAGTTAATGACAGAGAGGAATATAAAAAATATTTTTCAAAAATTTTCAAAGAACAAAACACATCCAACGATTTGTTTTTGATATATATATATATGTGTGTGTGTGTGTGTGTGTGTGTGTGTGTGTGTGGTGAAATGTATAGAAAATAGGAAAGAACTGTTAGGTAAATAATCCAAACTTCTTTAGTATTTTTGACTCTTGTTTTGAAACATGAGAACTCTTATGTAGCGTGTTGGAATCAATTTTTAAATAAATAATTACATATATATATATATATATATATATAAAATATTTTTATGTTTAACGTATTTAAGCAAATGCTCTGTTTATAATAAACAGTATTAAATAACATTTACCGGCCTGAATGTCCCAGAAATTTTCATAGAAAATATTCGTCCTTTGACAGGATTCGAACCTGCATCCTATATGGAACCGTCATTTACGCTGACGTGCCTTACCGTAAATGACGAGTCCGTATAAATATTTGTATCTATAAAAAGAATGTATAAACATAAAAATGTATTTCCATTTTTCAATGCACGAAACAAGAGATGCTGGCAATTTCAAGCAATTTTTTTCAAAGATGATGGATAGAAAAAGAAAAAGAATACATATTAGCTGGATTTTTTTTTGAAAAATTTTATAACTACCGGCGTCTTTTGTTAGATAACAACAACAAAAACCCAGTCCGTTAAAATTATATTTTTCTTAAAGTGTTTGTTGATATATAAAATTATATATATATATATATATATATATATATATATATATATATATATATATAAAAGTTTCGTTGAAAACGCCTGACAAGGTGTGGTAGTTGAGTTTTTATGTAATTTGTCATGTGTTCGTATTTTTTTTTCAAAAATCTTTTCAAAATATAAATTATATAAAAATTGTCCGAAAATTTTCCAACGGCTTAACGTCCATACTTTTACTAACTTTTGTATATATCAAGGATGAATTTTATTTTACGCGTAACTGAATATATGCATTGTTTTGTGTATGTATCTAGGTTTATAGAATTTTTTTTATTTTTCAAACACATCCACAATGTGCTGACCCTGTTTAGAAAATAAAACTTTCATCTAACTCGAGATGCATATATGAAACCATCAATACGTTTTTCAGTTAAACCTAAAACATGAAAACAATTGTAGCACAAGTCCTAAAAGGGGGAATGGGTTGAGACTGGTCGGCACTAATTTTGTGATGTCAACGAACACTCGTTGCCACTTTTATAATGTCAAAGATCACTCGTTGCCACTTTTGTAATGTCAACGAATACTCGTTGTGACTTTGGTAATGCTCGTTGTAGTAGAGACTTTGTAATCGCAGATACAACTATAGTAACGCCGTTGAACAATACTGACGTCATACGCCTTCGAATAACATTCACACTAATAGTACTTGCTGGATAATACTCGCTCGAATAGTAACCTCCGAATAGTGATCAGTATAAGAAATAGTATAGTGGGTAGAGTAGAGAATAGCGGTCCGTATAGTAATAGAGGATAGAATAGAGATAGCGATCCGAATAGTAATAGAGGACAGACTAGAAATGGCGATCGTTAGTCGTCAGCTACTTCCTACATATATGCATTTCCTCTATGGTCACGTGGTCTACTTATTTCAATAATGCGATCGCCTGTGTTTGCTCACTGGCGATCTATGTTCAAACTCAAGTGTCGGCAGCGACACTTTATTCCTATATAACAACTACCTTATAACTATACAACTTTCACATCCACCACAAGAACTCGTCCATCATCATTCATTCCTATATATACCACAATACCGTACACACACAGGGAACCACATCACGTGACATAATTTATATAGTATAAAATTATATATAAAAAGCT